CGCTGCATTGAAGCAGCCGCGTTCAGTTTTTAATTGTAGTGTCTGTTCTTTAACTGAACTAAATGATTTTTTATTACTATAAAAAATCTAAACGACGGTGGGGGTCGGTGCCGCGGTGGGCAAGTGACGTAACCGGTGTTGCGGCTTAACAACGGTATCACCGTCAGCACTGTCTATAGCCTAAATGTGAACTTTATCATGTATATTTTGGTAGGTTTGTCTGACTCTGTAGGCGATGATCTTAAATGGTCAGCCCTGTTAATATGGTTTTGTTCAGTAAACAATTGATAATCGAAAACTTTATAGCAATATTGGCATCTTTTTTGTAGCATCATGACCTTGAGCACAAAACTACTAAAGAACGTTGAAGTTGTCAAACCTGTTACATTTAGAACGGCATAGCTACTATATAATATCAACATATATTTATTTAGCCTATTAAATGGTGAGATTTTAGTGCGAGATTTTTCAAAATGTTAAAAGTTAATGTGAACCAGTCGTGGTTGTAGATAATGTGGTAACTGTTTTAGTTGATTGATTAAATTGGACTGACATATTTGATATAGATTGGTGTCTATGCTGGTCAGTGTTATGTACAGCATTGCCTGGAAATACTAGGGAATTTGAGATTTCCACAACATTTAAAGTCATGGAAATGTGTGGTTTTAGAGTTTCCTTTGGTTTTAAAATATTTCATTAGCTTCATGAGTGTTCTGTATAAAACAATTATTCAAATTCTCTAATCAGAAATCTCAAACAACTAAAAAAGTCATGTGAATTCATTGGTCAAAAGGCGTGGGAACTATGTCTTTGCTTTCATGCTGTTGCACTTGTTTCTCCTATGCGTCATGTATCATTGGCATGGAAATGTGCTATGGTTACTTTATGTTGTGTTCTCTGAGCAGAAACGTGCAACTGAAAATGGAAAAAAAAAAAGAAAATGAATGATCAAGGTCAAAGTTTTGTGGACTTTGAAGGCTTGAAGACATACTCTGACGCTTGCCTCATATAAAAATAGATACAGGCCATCGTCTGTGTATTAGCTTCTGTGAAGTTTACAGTTTCGGTTAACAACTTCTGTAAACTCGATTTGTACGGCCTTTACAAGTTTACAGGGTCAAGCTTTACCAACATGCTGTCTGTTTTAATATTGTGTATAGGACGTTGTACCAGTTGACCAGTGTTTGACTTGTGTTAAACTTATAAAAAATTATATAATTTTTAATATTTTAAAGCGTTGTTAAAATAACAGATAATGTATTAGTGAACTGTACTTTACCTGAGGGCTTTTTCATAATACTAAATAATTAATCAGTTATTTCAGGTTCACTAGGGTGGTTAACAGCAGAGTTGTTCCAGTTGTGTTGTTTCACACAACCGAGTAGATGAGTTGTTTCAGTTCAGTTCTTTCTTATTCTTTGAACATGAACAGTGTTCTGTGAAGTGCGGAACAAGAATAAGGGAGTTATGTTTTCTACAGTTCAGTCTTTTACCACCTGTAAGGCCTAATTTACATCCAAAATCCTTGTCAATATAGAAATGGCATTACTTTGTTGTAATGTTCTTTAGTATATTCAGAATTTTGTTAACAAGATGAATCTCAAACAAGACGTTCACCTACCCTGCAGCCCTTTATGCAGAAAAATGTCACAAAACTATTATGAATGATAACAACCTCTTTATAAATATGCAGTGTTCTCTTAAAACATGTGCTGCCTGTTTTTAAAGGTTCAGCAACATTTTTGAAGAATATGCAAATGTATTCATTTGAATTTTCCTTTTTTTTTTAACTGCCATTTTCCTTTTATGTTGACAGTTTATATAAAATTCTAAAGTTTGGAGTCTACAAGATTGTTTTAATGTTTTTGAGAGAAGCCTCTTCTGTTCACCAAACTGCTTTTCTGTTTATTGAGGCAATTTCAATCTTATGTATTGCAGCACTTTGAGTGTGATGGAGTTTTATAAATAAAATGTATTTTAAATATTACTATTATTTATTTGATCAAAAATACAGCAAATGCAGTTATATTGTAAAATACTATTAAATTTGAAAATAACTGTTTCTATTGTAATATATTTTATTTCTGTGGTGCAAAGCTGAATTTTCAGCATCATTACTCCAGTCTTTAGTGTCATATTATCCTTCAGAAATCATTCTAATATACCAATTGTATATTAATTGCTTAATTGATATTAATATAAGCATTGATATTAATATTTTAAAGGATTCTTTAAAGAAATTAAAGTTTATAAGAACAGTGTTTATTTGAAATGGATATGTCTTTACTGTCACTTTTGATCAATTTACCTTGCTGAATAAAAACATTAAAAGTATTGAAAAAAAAAAAACTATTTTACTGACCTCAGAAGAACTCTTTTGAACTGTGGTTTATGTATATGTAATGTGTACTATGTTACAGCATGTAGTGATATGAACTGTTATACTTTATCCAGCATGAAGGCAACAAACAAATCTAATGTGCACTTAAAACAAGTTAAATTCATAAATACTTAAATTCAAATGTGTTAAAGCTTGCTTCTGTTTTTCACTTTCAGGGAGCTGAATTCAAAGGCTTTGAAGTTCAAGATGAAAATAGCAGCACCCTGGTTTGCGCTGGACGAAATGCATGTAAACGTAAGTGTGGCTTCAGATGCAAATTGTCCTGAGAATCTTTAAAAGTCTGTTGTTTCATTTTGTTTGTATGGCTTTTTATCTTAAATTCATTCCATACAATTTAAAAAAAATACCATAATCGTCTACAACAGGGCATCACTTCAAGGACTAATAAACAGTTTTGGCATAGCTAGTTAAAAAGATACTTAGGCTATTATTTAAAAGATACTTATTATTTCAGTCTCTGCTTGATAGTCACTGTAGCCTGTGGTGTAAATGTTTGAATCACTTGATTATATTTAACCACAGTGGAATGAATATAATTGAATTGTAATTGAAGTCGTTCTGTTTCAGGTGTTCGTGTTTCAGCAAAGTCGTCAAAGAGGATGCGTCAAAGGCGGTCTCTTCCAGTGTCCCCTTTAGTAGAAAGCACAGGTTCCCAAGATTCTCAAAATGATTCAGGTTCTGTTCAGCAAATTCACAGTCAAGAGTCCCTAAAGGACACATCAGTAGATGATGATGGTGATGGTGATGGAGGATTGGGGAAGCGCACCAGGAGAAAAAGAGGGTCGACAAAACAGGAGACCCAGTCAACTCCAAGAATCACAATCAAGTTGGTGGCTAAAAAGAAAGTGGTTACAGTCCCATCAGTGCAACGTAAATCTGGTAAAAAACAGAAGGAAATTAAATCTGAAGTTACCGAGAGTCAGTGTGCCCAAATCTCAAGTGCTCATTTGAAATTAAAGACAAATGTACCAGCCAGTGAATGCAGTGCTGGTGAGGCAAAGGAGGAGGTTTGTACTAGAAGGCGAGGAAGATCTGCTGACAAGAAATCAGAATCCACTCCGCAAACAAACCCTGAAAAAGAGGCCAATGACCAAAAACTGAAGCTGAGGAAATCAACTCGAAGGTCTCAAAATCCACTGCCCAGTGAAAGTATAGAGCCAAAATCTGATGAAAAGTCAGCACAAGAAGGTTTAGAGGTGAATAAGCTTGTGATTAGGAGACAAAGTAGAAGGTCCTCAAATGTTCCACAGGAATCTGGTGACCAGAGTTTAGCAGAGTCGCTGTTGGAGGTCTCCACAATTGATGAATCCAGGCCACCTTCAAAGAAGAAAAAAGATAAAAAGAAAAAGAAGAAGAAAAATTGCAAAGAATCCGAAAGGAAAAAGGAGCCTCATTCACCATCAGCAAAAGATCTTGGCCCTTCGTCTGATGATCCTCAAAAGCTTGCTTTCGACAGTGATTTTGTCGGAATTCCAGGTCTTAGACTAACAAGGATACGAAACCCCAAAACCAGGTCTCGCAAGAAACGCTGCAAGTTTGTGTGGACTCTCACACTGGTGAAAAGGAAAAGCAAAAACTCCCAAATTCAAGAGAATCTAAGTAAAACCCAAGAAAGCAAAAGCAATGATTCCCAAGTCCAAGATGACCTCAGCAAAACACAAGAAATCAAAAGCCAAGATTCTCAAGTCCATGAGAGTCCAAGCCCCAGCACAGAGGCAGAACTTCCTGCTAAATGTGATGAGGAAGTAGATGTTTCTACAGAATCACAATCCACATCCGCTCCTTCCAACGTTTCGGAAACCGGTTCTTCACAGGAGTCACAAAACGTAGAGAACACTGCCAGTGCCGTAATTCCCGAAAGCCCAGAGAACCCCGTGGCCATTGAGAAGGTTGAGGAGACCCCAGAAAAGGAAAACGAGGAGGTTCTTGAAAGGTCAGAAATTGCAACAGAAGCACATCCAGAAGAGGCCACTCAGACAGACCCAGAAGATCCGATCAGTAGGGATACCGTTCCACCACTTCAAATCAAAGTTGTCTCCTCACCAGGTAAAAATAACAGTCTAAAGCAGTCCTTTTTAATTCAGCAAGTCACAAAGTCACCTGAAATAAAAGAACCTGCAAAAGACCATCAGCATTCAGAGAAGAGTGAAAATGTGTTGGAAATGACTGCTACCACTCCCGACCCTAAAGTAAGGAAAAGCCTACGTCAAAACACTGCTCGGAAGAAGCGTGCAAAACATAAACACTGGACAATTTACAGGCGAAAGTGTAGATTGAATGCATCTCAAGAAAACCCCGCTTCTGAAAGTGCAACTGAAACCGAATCTCAGATAGAGCAATCAACAGTATCACCAACAGCAGTGCCAGCGCCTGTAGAATCCAAACCAAAAAGACATTCTAGTAAAGTTACGCATAAAAAAGTTAAAAGGTCCTTTCCACCAACTGCAGAACCATTACCTGAAGCAGCCGAAATGCAGGTCATTGAACAAACTGTTGAATCACCTCCAACCAAACCATTTCTTGAGACAGAACCCCAGCCGGAGATAAAACTTGAGACACCATCAATCGAAGCTGAAGAGGTTCTAGTATTAGAGCCTTCCATAAAGGATCAGCCACAGGTACTTCGTCCTTCACGTCGACGAATAAAACGGGTCAAACGAAGACGAAAGTCTCTGATTGGACGGCGGAATAAAAATTCAAAATCGCTAAAGAAGGAGTTGGTTGAGGTTAGTGAAGATCGTCCACCGATGGCGGGCTCTGAAGTAGAGGAGCCTAATCTAGTTGGTATATTCTCAACAAAGTACAAGAGGAAACGAATTTCGAGTCTTCAGTCATTAGAGGGTAGACGGAAAAAGGCCAAGCTCTTATCAAAGCAACTGAAGAACACCAACGGAGATCAACTTTCCGATCAGGCAGAAAAAGATTCTATGAAAACGGATGGAGATCAAGACATCCAACACAGCAAAACAAAATTCATGAAAACCATCAGACATTTCATAATGCCAGTCGTGACTGCCCGATCCTCTCGGGTTATCAAAACCCCAAAGAGGTTCATGGATGATCTTGGTATGTCAGACCTTCCTCGCAAGAACTCCGAAAAAAAGAAGCTTGGTCTACAACCAAAATCAAAGAAACGTGATTCTAGTGAAAAAGGTGAACCTGGGTCCCTTCAGTCTCAGGATGAAGACACTGTTTTGAGTGAAGCTGATCTTGATTTGTCTTCCACTTGGAAATCAAAACCTAAATCGCCCGACGACGCTGAGATCTTCAGTGAGGAGAAGCAGCCTGGGAAAAGACGATCGCTACTCCGAGATCCCGGTTTCAAATGGGGAGTGCTGAAGCCTGCCAGTGACGACGTGTATACCTTCGATGAAGATCTTGACAAGGAGTTGGAGACCTTGCTATCTGCCAAAGATTTTACAGTGGACTCGTTTCTTGATCCTGTCCAAAAGAAGAAGAAATCCACAAAATTCAAAACGCAATCATCAAAATTTAGGTTATACAAAAAGCTTAAACTCAAACAGAGTCTCGCAAGGCCTAAAAAGACCCCAAAGGACAAAATGGATAAAGTTGTGTCATCCCCTGCCAAGACGGAGAAGAAGGAGTTGGAAGAAGGGGCCAGTCTAATAAAGTCTCTCAGAGACATGAAGAAGGAAAAAGCAAAACTCAAGATTGAGGATCTCAACACCCCTGGGGTTGTTCGCAAAGTCTCCATCTGTGTACGAGCTCTGAGTGCCAAGTTGCTGGCGCAACACCAGGCAAAAGACATCCAAAAGGATGACCTGCCAGATGAGTTCTCCATTCATACAGACATCTCACTTCCCAATAAATGCAAAGGTAGGTTAAGATTTTATCTAAACATTTAATTACAAATGAACACTAACTGCCCTAAACTCAAAGTTGATTTTCATAATCCATGTTCCTAAAAAGAAAAGGAAAAAAAAAAGATCTTCTGAATTGTTTTTCTAAAATTGTCCTGTTAGTAAACACAGTTAATCTAATGCTGGTTAAATGTTTTTTCAACTGTATTTTATTGCAAAGGTTTATTCAAGGCTTGTCAAGTACTTCTTACCTCATTGACAGTCGGTTGGTCTTACAGTCCAGCGATGCTTCTTTTCTTTCTCAGACTTTGATGAGATGCATCTCAAAGAATCCAAAGCACCGGTTTCTGAGGACACTCAGAAAACTGCCGTTGACATTGAGGAGAAAACCGCCACCCAGCGCCCTCGCCTTACAGGAGCCAACAAGCGCATGTTCAACCTGCTCAAGAAAGCCAGGGTTCAGCTCATCAAAATAGACCAGCAGAAACAGCTGAAATCATCTGGGGTGAGTCCATGAAACTGAATATGTGCCTTTCTATTCAAACTTAACTGTTTTTCCAAATACTATAGGTCCATTGGATAAAGTGGACATAGGTGTCCTTTGCATAATTAGCCTACTTTTATTGAGCAAGAATGCATTCAATTGATCAAAAGTGACACTAAAAATGCTGTTCATCATAGAATCCAGAAAAAATGTATCAGGGTTTCCATAGATATGTTAAACACAGGGTTCGTACGGTCATGAAAAACCTGGAAAAGTCATGGAATTTTAAAACACCAATTTCCAGGCCTGGAAAAGTTTTGGACATCCCAACTATTAGAAATGTTTCCTGAGCAGCATGATTCTGACGGATCATGTGACACTGAAGACTGGAGTAATGTTGCTGAAACCTCAGCTTTGCCATCACAGAAATAATTACATTTCAAAATATATTAAAGTAGAAAACATGTCATTCAAATTGCAGTAATATTTGACATCTTTTTTTTTTTTTTTACTGTACTCTTAATCAAATAAATGCAGTCTTGGTGAGCACTTCTTACAGACACTTCTTACAGATCATAGTCACCTTTATATAAATAAACTTGACAACTTTTGAATGGTAGCTTTCGCTTCAAGAAATTCTTACCCAGTCATTAGATGCTTGTTGGACATATTTATAATTGAAGTGTTATTAATATTATTTGAATCTGTTTTCACTTTTTGTTTTTGGTAGCTCTTGCCAGAGGGTAGAATCACTGCAACAAAGAGACAGAGACGAAAACCGAAAGAGCGGCTTGAAAATGCCTGTCCCAACAAGACTGAAGCTTCTCCAGAGCCGGTAGTGTGTTTTATTTATTTTTTTTATGTAAAGCAAGAACACAGAATTGGACCATGATCCTAATGGGACCAAATAAGAATCTTCTAGCAATGCTGTACATGTTCTTTTAATATTTGACTAGGTCATTAGGTGACTTCAGTATGATAACAGAAGTGAATTTGTTCGGTGCTGTTGTTTTAATCCTTCACTTTACAATTCCTACCATAAGGAGCCTGCCAGAGGAGGGCCTCGCATTAAGCACGTATGCAGAGCTGCAGCTGTGGTTTTGGGTCAGCCTCGTGCCATGGTCCCTGACGACATCCCTCGACTCAGTGCACTACCCCTGCACGAGAGATCAGATATATCCCCTTCACCTGCAGAAAAAGGTACCAGCACTTACTCCTCAAACTGCAAAGACTACCAATAAACCTAAGAAAGGATCTGATAATAGACCTGATAAAGTGTTGATAGTGTCTGATATCTTTTGTTAATTTTGCCTGTGTTATGACGTTTTCTGTCACTTTTGCAGGAGTCGAGTCTCACTCTGACCCGGAAAGCCCTGTGTTACAAGAACACAAGACACCCAAGTTTCGCCGTGGTAGAGCTCATTTGCTTCGGAACCGGTCCCGGCGGTGTGGGGAGTGTAAAGGTTGTCTGCATGAGGAGGACTGTGGCAGGTGCATAAACTGCTTAGACAAACCCAAGTTTGGTGGCCCAAACACAAAACGGCAGTGCTGCGTGTAAGTATGCTAGTTTATTTGTATGCCGGTATTTTACTGCTATGACTGCTTAATACTCACTCGGTTTATAGTTCAGTCCTGTAGTTACTGGGAGTAACCACCTTTTTCTCACTTCACATTTTACATTAAAGTGGTAATTTTAATTAATTATTTATAAAATTTTACTGTTCATAAGGAAAAATGAGCTACTTTGCTCAACAACCAGTGTTATTTATAAACTACTAATAACTATTAACTATTTATAAACTATTAATATTTTGAAATAGCTTATTTGTTTTAATTTTAGTTAGCTTTTTTGTGCTTTTGAAATTTAGTGTTTTTTGTTTTTTAATATTTCTTTTTAAATTTAAACTTATTTCAGTTTTAGTAATTTTTGTATTTAAACATATTTATTTATACATATTTAAGGTATTTAGTTACCAAAGCAACATTTCTAGTAGTTTGTTACCCATTTATGTCAATAAAATACATGTTTGTTCATTTTTTTATATATATCTGTCCCTGAAAAGTTAAATTCAATGTTGTGTAACAGTTTTCTTGCTTTTGTCTGATTCAAGGCCCTCATATTTTTCAAACAGATCAGTGCGGTCCTGTTAAATTTAAATAGCTTTTTTTCTTTCTTTCTTTTTTAAAAGATACAAGAGATGTGATCAGGTTGAGGAAAGGAAGGCCTTGAGGCTAAGTGGCAAGCTTCAAAAAGGTAAGAACATGTTTTAGAGTGAATGCTGCACTGTTTATTCTCTGTGCATCTGCCATAAACTTTTTCTCCATTTTCAGGGCACATGAAAAAGCGTCGCTCGTCAATTAGTGCGGGTCACTCAAGTAATGAAGAAGGTGAGGGCGGCGATGGAATCGGGCGAACGTTTCCAGCCTCTCTGGGTGACAGCCCATCTGTGCGGAAACAGCCTCGCCGACACGTTAAACCACGTTCCTACTGCGACCTGTTGGATTACGACTCCGACTTTGACTGGATAGGAGGATCAAATTCCACCTCCCCAGCCCGCAGAAGAACTCCTGGCCTTCGCAACTCAGGTTAGGCCATAGTATGAAGCTTATTTCCACCAGAGAATAAAAAATTGCAAATCTGAGTTTATATGTCACACTTCAGACTTTTTTTCTCACAATTCTGAGAAAAAGTCTTTATTATAAGATATAAATTCGCAGCTCTGAAGTTGTGAGAAAAAAGTCAGAATTATGAAATAATTTTGTTTTATTCTTTGGTGGAAACAAGCTTGTAGCAAATCAGACTTTTTCATCACGCAATTCTAATCTTTTTCTCAGAATTACGAGTTTGTATCTCAGACATTTTCTCGTGATTTTGAACTTATATTTCACAATTCTCATTTTTTCTTTGAATAACGAGATATAAGTTAGTTATGAGTTATAAACTTGCAATTGCAAGGAAAATGTCAGAATGTTTCAGCTCTTTTTTCATCTTGCACTTCTAAACTTTTATAGTTTATATCTCACAATTATGAGTTTACATTTTGCAATCAGAATTGCAAGGAGAAAAGTCAGAATTGTGAGATTAAGAAGTTAAAATTACTTTTTGTAATACTTTTTTTAATTTTATGGTGGAAACAAGCTACTAGGGCTGTCAAAAAAATCGAATTTCGAATATTCGTCGAATTTAAAATAAAAATCCACATTCGAATGCAAAAACCTTGCATTCGAATTTTAGGTGTGCATTAAGGAGGCAGCCTTATCTGCGGCGCACGAGATGAGATGACGAAGTATGTA